GTTTCCCGAACGATTTAATTACGCACAAACACGCATGTTGCATCGAATTTTCACATTACGCACGCACGCACATACACATACACAAACACACACGAATGGACAAGCGTGTGTGTGTGTCTTATAGTGATCTGGTCGTAGACCGCTGTCCAGCGTAATTACCATGTTCTTCCGAGATGACGTGACCCCCCGAAAATGTGTGCCAAGTGCCGTGAGAACTGGTTCGTATCGTGTATAATCGTCGGATTAATTAAAGTGAATAAATTTGTACGCGAGTACTAGCCGCGCACATACATTATAATATACGTATTCCGATAACTCTTAGTTGTCCGTTGGAGTGTGTGAGTGTGTATGTGTGTGCACCTGTACAAATAAAATGCATATACATGTACCTACTGTATAAGACGACGTACTCGTTTTGGTGGACAATTTTTTCTTGAAGATCAGATTTTTTTTTTTTTCCATCGCGCGTTATACACATACAGAGTGATTTTATAAGCATGCTCAACCCTTTTTTATGATTAAATCACGGATTCGTTCAAATCCTGAACTATTGATACAACGCTTGTGTGTATACACACCATGAGAGTATGTTTTCCAACACTTTTTGTGCCTCTTAATGCGTATCGTGTGTTAACAATTAAAACCTCATTTTTATTCCTTGAAAGTAATTATTCAATACGTTTTACTGACATACTCGATGTCATGTAATTGAAATTCGGACCAACACTTTCAGAATTATTCATATTGAAAATAACGTACGAAAAATGTAAAATAATAATAATGATAAGAATAATGTTAATTTTCGGTATAGCTTCAAGGTTACACAGGTACAATATAATATCGTCTAAATATGTATTGGTTGTGTAGTATTATTGCGTGACAAAGTAAAACGAATACCAGTAACTACCGGTCGTAAGTCGGTTTTTTATTGGTTTCTCATTTACCGCGCCCAAAACATCAGTATTACAATTATGTCTCGCTTACCACACGTAGTTTGAAATTCAAATTCTTCCGAAAGTACTGCAAGTCCAAGTGTTGACAATGTTACGACAAAAATTCTAGACAAATTCATCGACTGTTAAATATTTAATTTTCGCGTAAAAAATACAATTTGATACAAGACACTTCTTGAGAGGTATAAAAATTACATTTATAAGAAAATACAGTTTTGTGTTACGTTTTCCACGAATAAGAATTAAAAAAATAAAAAATAAAAAACATCAAACAGGAGGAGTGATCAAAATCACTCTGTACACATGCGTAAAACGTACTCGTACGATATACATAAATACATATACGTGTGTATACACTGCCACCGTCGCGTACATTTATATTTATGTGTATGTGTGTGTGTGCACACTGCATAATAACCAGTACTCGACGTGCGTGTGTATATATATATATATATATATATATATATAATATATACATATAATACATATATACATATATATATATATATATATATATGTATAAGTGTGTATAATGAGCTGCTGTGGCTACGGAAAGACATGGAGAGCAGGTGCAAATTATTATAGTTTATATTTATTTATTTTTTTTTTTCATTCGAATCTCAGTCGATCGACTGGTTTAGTCGGGAGGAAAAAAAAATATATAAAAACAAAATAAAATAGTAATAATAATAACAAGAAACCAGTATCTTCGGGAGCCCGCCCTATCGGGAGCATCGACAACTAACACTGGTCCGCGGCCGCCGCCGCCGCCGCCACCGTCGCCGCGCGCTTATAGTATCTGTACTTCGGTATTAAACACCGCCGGCTTCTGGAATGCAGTCCCTTTCCACCGTTCGCGAGAGTCGAACGCGCGCCGCCACCGTGTTAGTCACTGTCGCACGCCAGTTCACTCGTCCGTCTTCGCACGCGCGGTAAGCGGTTCCGTTTTCTTCCTCCACGGTTCGGCCGTCGTCTCGTCAAGACCGTCCGATTGTTACGTCCCCATCGTCGTTCGTCGACGTATTAGTTATTTTTTCGGCCTTTTTTTTTCTGTTTTTTCCCGCCGTCTACTTCTCTTATCGCCCACCCGCGCACGCATCGGCGACGACGTCCGGAGAGCGCCGCGGCTGAACGCCGTACGATCGGCTTGTACGGTGAAATATTATGTCAATCGATTCCGAACGTTCATCGTCCGCTGCAGCAGCAGAAGAAGAATCTCGTCGACCGTCGTGCTAGACCCGAGACTGTGCCATCACCAAGTCAAGTTAATCAAGTAAGTGGTCCGAATGTACTACACGCGCAGCGTAATGTGAAAACATTTTCCGGCGGCCGTTATGTGCCTGCGCGGCACATAACGGCCGGAAAAACCGAATCGTTTCCCGGTAAAAACGTTCGAATGTGTTGTCGACGATCAAAACGGTGGTAAATGCTAGCGTGCAAATGTTTTAATAATATTACGAACGGGTTTTTGGGCAACAGTTATAAAATCACACATAATTAATAGTCTTATAGAATTTTAATAGATATGACGTTTTTGAAAACAAACATTTCTGTTGTTGGGAAAAAAAAAATGAAAAAAAAATGACTGAATGGAAAAATGAATAACTTAGTCCTTTGGTATACAAATATTATGTATTATATGTGTTTAAATATTATATAAATACCTCGAGTGGTTTATAAAAGGAATTTTTTATAGTTTTAAATGTTTGGTGACGGTTAACGGATTTAAATAATTATTACATAAACTTCGTACAAGTACGAATATATAAGTACTTCGTATATTTTTCAAATATTTAATCACTGGATGTTAATGCAGTTACTAACTTTACGTCGGTATACATAAACTATTAACGAGTGAGATGTTAATAGGACATGATGAAAAATTGAAAATATCTTCATGGATTCAACTAAAGCACAAATATATCGTTTTAAGACAAAAGTCATTATTCTGCACGCGTGCCGAATAATTGTATTTTGTCTGTCCCGTTAATAACTTTCATAAACGTACGATATCGATTCGTTTTAATTTGTCGTTCATTGCTCTAAAAATCTATTAACATTTTATTTCTTGCATCGCATACGATTATTGACGTGCAAAAAAAATTATCTCGAGTAAAACGCGAGCGATGAAAATGCCACCCGATTCTCATGCTCTATAAATTTGTTAAACTGCATTACGAAAAAGTGTCAAATTTGAACCAACCAAACGCACTGCACGTATTGTAACGTATATATATATATACGTTTGTAATAGATATATTTATTACTGTTCGATTGACCATATTATTATCGCAAAATTTCCAAATACAAATTACAAGATATATTGCCACCGATGTAAACGAAAATTTTTAATTTTTTCGACTAGAAATTGATATTCATTAAGTACGTGGGCTGAACACGAAATCCGATATTGCGTGGAGCACAAAACACGTAAGATTCACAACGCGGGTTATCGGAGTAAGAAAAACGATATGTTATCAAAGCTGAGTCGGGAGGGGGAAACTTTGCACTATTATACCTCCTAGATTAAAAATAAAATATATTACACACGGTTTTATTTTCTATATGTTATCCAAAACTAAGTTAATTCTTAAAACAGCGTGGAATAATGTATAGATTTCGGTATAGCTTATATACGAGTAGGTTAGTGAAAATCTTGCGTTTTATGATGATGATGTATTTACTCGATTTATTTCTGAACTGTTGTTTTACAGATTTTCAACAATATTATTCAATAAAACCAAAATTGATAGTTACGCGTTTTTGAAGTTTTCATAAAATTTGATTTCTGTTACGAATGCACTGTTGTTATATTGCTTTGGGTTCGTATATACTATATAAAACGATTTAACTGAACATCACGTGGGTGGAAGTATAAAATATATTTACGAAAATAGAACATTTTATGTGTGCGTGGCCGGTTAGGCCGTAATAAGTACGATTATTATTGGTAAAAGGAATATAATTTACCAATTCGAACGTTATGTATGCTGTAGCTAATCAATTTAAAACATCATCAATTATTAGAAATATTTTATCCGTGGTCACGATATATAAATATATGTGTGTGTTTGCTTTTGTAATAACTATTGACAAGTGCACAATTAAGTACTAACAAGTAACGAGGTACAATAATTAATGCACTTTAATTTCAACAAAACTTTTTCGATTATAAAAATGAATTGTAAGTATAATTAATCTTTTGCAAACCTATAAATCATCTAATTATTATTAACAACTGATAACGTGATATCAATTTATATTTAATTCATAATAATCATAAGACAAATAAGGGACGCGCATGTAATATTATGACGATGCTGTAAGATAAACCGTCTAAATATAGTCGGATAAGAATAGTATGCGGTGCATTAAACGGGTAGTGTCTAGACGTGTATTTTTTCTTTTCCCCGTTCAAAAAATAGTTTAACCGTATTATAATAAAAGGGCGATGTAATGGGGGAGGGGAATAAGCCGGGGCACTGTCTTTGGATATTCATTTTTTTTAATTTTTTTTTTTTTTTTTAGTCGCTTTCATCGAACCGTAGAGTATTTGTAGAGATTATTTTATTTTAATTATATACGGATTTGGCCTTAAGTACATTAATAGGTATTTATAAATAGTGTGAGTTCAATAGAAGTGAGATAGAACTAGGATAGATTAAAACAGAAATGAAGGGTGGGTGTTGTCTAGACTCATTAATCAGTCAAGTGGTCAATCAAACAATTACTAATTGTAATTAGTAGAGCGTTTAGGAATAAGAATCGAAGCAGAAGCAATAGAGCGAGTTGAACGTGGAGAAACACAAAAATTTATAAGGGAAAGGAGCGATTGGAAATTAGCAGTTTTGTCAATCAAATTAAGAAAAAACTTTATGGACGCTGTTTATTTTCTATCAGCCAGAGTTAACATACTTAGTACATGGAGAGCTGGAGAGTAGTCGTGTAAAGTATAGAGTAAATCTAGCAACTAGTACATAACTATTGTAGGATAAAAACGCTTTTGGACTCGTTTTAAGATAGCAGATTCTGAAACTGTACGGAGAACCCACAGTACCTACTCAATCAGTGGCCGAACTAACGAGCAATTAATTTATGGGAAAAATGAGTATGGAATTCGTTTTACGAAGTTGTTTAATTGATTTTAATTATATATTAAAATAAAAGAAAAATATACAGAAAATTACTTGGTATTTTACAATAATTGAAATCATAGTTGAACGGGTTTCCATTCCACCCAAATATTATCACACATTTTCCAGTAATATTAAAACTCGAGCTTTTTTTCTGCGCACAAGTCATCGTTAACGTTCAATTATTATATGATTTCTATGCAAGTGTAAATATATATATATACACTTATGTTGATGTGTATATTAATCAAGGCCTAAAATATTCAATTTTCGTATGAAACACTTTATTTTAAATAAATTTTTGTATTCTGCGACGTAATCTGCAATAATAGATGAGCTTATGTGAACCTTCTGCAAATCTATATAAATGTTTATTATAGAAACAATAAACATTTTCAGTATTTTGTATAAACCGCTTCTACGATACTCTAAGATACTTGTATTCTATGTAGGTAACTATGTATGTTCTATGTAGGTTTTTTTTGACTGAAAAATAAGATTATATTACATATGATTATTTTTTGTGCTGAACAAAGGGTGTCGTAGTGTTCACAATTTTAGACCTTGATACAAATATATATATATATATATATATTACAAACCTTCGCTGCATATAATATTATAATCACACGGAATGACATATTACACTATTGCAGCACTACTACTCAGATAGAATCGTTACAATTTTTGTATGCTATTGAAAATCCATTATTTCATCCGTTGATTTGATCCACTGGTAAAGAATAAATTATCATAATGTATTAAATATTACTATTATTACAAATATTATAATATCCTGAATTTGGTGTACACAAAAAACGTACAATTTAATCCGATAAAATATGCAATTTCAATTTTACAAAATTGTCGATTTCAATACAATCCTATAATATTAATTCCGTAGCAATGTGTATAACATATTCCGTACCACGTCATTGTGTCAACACGTGATTCTATGTTTGTTGGATTTTTTTACTAGTGTTTTTTGTTATTTTAATCACGTAAATATAGGTATTATATGTGAACGCTGCTACTATATACCGCTTGATATTATATACATATGGATATCAAATGAAATACGAAATACATACATTTAAAAACACATACCTATGTATTTATTTATTTATTTCATATGATTTAAGTATATGCCATCGCCTCCATAATCGAGTTTTATTCATTATACGGTATTTTTTAGTGATACAACAATATACCGTAAGACACGGTCGCGTAAAATGTTTAACTAATGAAAAAAATAATTTGAAATAATTTGTTTTTCAGACATACATTATTCATTAAAATATGTACTCGTTTTAATCGATGTACTATACATATACGTGTATGATGATTTCGTTTATGTTCTTAAGATATTTCCTCGTCAATATTACTACAAGTACTTCACGCCTCTCTCACCACGTACGCCGTGTACACCATAAACGACATCCTAGTAAAATGATAGTGAATAGATTTCGTGAATAATTAAATAAATCGTGTACTGCGGAGTAGGTATACACGCGCTCGTTTTAGATCCATTGCTGCAACCGCGAACTGTATTAATATGTGTACGATGTTTTCGTAGTATCTGACGCGAAGGCTAATGATTATCCGAAACGAGTCATTTCAGAAAAATAGGCTAAGCATGAAAACAAAGTCATGCGAATGTTATTATAGGTACTAGATTTCAGTACGTTTTCCGATTACCAATCGAAATGTATTATTAACACATCGAAATCGAGCTTATTACATTGTGATCGAAAACTTGTGAAAAACATAATTCACAAAACACATGTCTTATGAAGACAATAATATAATCATGGACACTTATTTTTCAGTGAACTATTACCATTTGGTAATATATTCAAATAATACGAATAGAATATTTAAATTAAATTAATGACCTATGGAAAATATAAATACGTGTACTTTAGGAGTAGAGCGATTTGTTCCTCGGACGACCGTAAATTTGTTGGCTGTTTGAAACCACGTTAACTGTGTGGTTCTTCGGCGCCACGAATTTACATAGAGAGCCATATTAACCCCTAATATAACCTACTGATAATCGCGGGAACAAAATTGACCCCCGTGATAGTCTACGTGTTTTTATAAAACCTAACCATATATATATATATATTCGTGAGACACC